TTGTATAAATAATTTCTTATTTGATTTTGAACAAAGTAGATCAACAAGCATGGTTTGAGTTAATATGTCCGTTTCCCAAATGTAATGTATATCAATCTGTAAAGAAAAAAAAATGGTGTGAAGAATATTTGTGAGTTGTGAATGTTACTTCATATAGAAGAGCCCTTACTAAATTTAGATGTTCAAATCACACATTGAAACAGAGTACCATTTCTGCTTAATGTGGCCTTTTGTGTCAGATTATAATGTAAATCCAACATAACCCAAGTTTTAACAGCTATAACATCCCAAAACCCAGATGTTAGTATTTGTTTTGCAAAGTATGTATTTCTTGCCATGAACCCCCCTCCCCCCGAAATAATCAGTTGCATTTCTAGAGTACTTCTTGTATTCTGGTGTCTCTCTCTCTCACTCACACACACACACACACACACACACACACACACACACACACTCTCTCTCTCTCTCTCTCTCTCTCTCTTTGGTGGCTACGTTAAATACAAAAAATAATAATGTTGCCCTTATCTCCTATGCACTTTCCGACGAAACCGTATGTGGAATAGAAATGTAGATATGTCGTCAGTGCTCTCGAAAAGCCGACGTATAGGACTCCGTGTTTGGTAAAAATAATAAATCATTTGTTCCACTGAGTGAAACGAACTAATTTCTCATTCAAATTTCATGTTTCACCGTGACTTGTCTAATGGCCTTCATTAAATGCTTGTCCTTGGGAGTATACATGTTGCTACCGCCATTAATTTAATCTCATTAATAGTAGGAAATAGTGAATTTGTCTTGGCCTTTTGGGAATGCGACCACTGTTAAGATTTCAAACCTTTCAAGGAATCAGTGTGACATCTCTATTGTTCCTTTTCATAAACCACAGTACTTCCTGTAGCCTACAATTGCTATATGTGGGCCCTGTACTTTAAAAGCTTTAATGGTTTTACATAGAGTAGTTAGAATTTGTCTACATTTTTGTAATGTAGCTTTCTTCTACAATCCCAACTCATGACATCAAATAGTCTAGATGTTGATTGAATGCTCAGGGGCATATTGGACAATCCAAGACATTGTTATAAAGGAACCGCATTTTATTAATCTAAACATTTTCACATAAACTCTTCAAAAAATGAAACGCAAAAGGCAATATTTGAGACAAATTGTGAACAAGTTTAGTCCGGGTAGTTCTGTATGACATTTGTGAAACTTTGCACATGCACTGAAGTACACCCAAAGTCTGCAAAAGTGAAGTCGACGGTCACTAGGTGAAGTTTAACGTCACCCTACGTCAGTAACGAGTATGCCCCCTGTGAGCATCGATAACTGCTTGGCATCTCCTGCCCATGGAAGCGATGAGATGATGAATCACATTCTGTTGAATGGCTGTCCACTCAGCCTGCAAAGCTGCTGCAAGCTGAGGTAGAGTCTGCGGTTGAGGTTGTCGCTTTCGCAGACGTCGGTCCAACTCGTCCCAAAGATGTTCAATGGGGCTTAAATCTGGTGATCTGGAGGGCCAGGGAAGAACGTTGATGTTGTGGGTTCCCAAGAAGGCAGTGGTGGGTCGGTCTGTGTGAGGACGGGCGTTGGTTGTCAGCGAAAAAACATCGTTGACATTCACTATGATGGGTTGCACATGGGGCCTAAGAATCTCGTCGACGTATCGTTGAGCCGTAAGATTCCCTCGAATGTGCACAAGGTCTGTTCTGGCATTGTAGGCGATGGCAGCCCACATCATGACACCATCACCACCAAATCTGTCAACTTCCTGCACACAGTTTGCTGCAAAACGTTCACCACGCCGACGGTAAACACGGGTGCTTCCATCCTGCCTACGAAGCATAAAACGTGATTCATCGCTGAACCAAACTTGCCTCCATCGCACATGAGGCAATACCCGATGTCCCCGAGACGGTTGCGTACGGTCTGATCGGAAATCCTACGCAGCCCTGGTATGGTTGAGGCAGTACACGTCGCAGTGGTGGTCCTATCCCGAAGGTGACGTAACCGGATGTAGAGATCTTCTGCGGGCGTGGTCATGCGAGGTCTGCCGGATCTGGGACGGTCACGAGTTGATCCATGTTGTTGGTGACGATTCCATAGCCTTGTAATGGTGCTTGGGTGGACATTCACAGCTCTGGCAACATCTGATCTAGATTCACCTGCTTCCAAGCGACCAATGGCGTTGTTGCGTTGTGCTTCATTCAGTCTAGGCATGACTGTATTGCGTGTCGGTGGCTTAACACTGAGCTATGGAAACCGAAAACCCGTCACTTTTATAGGGATTTTGCTCATGTTGCACGTGCAGAACATGGAGATCTCTCAAACACATTTATTGCGTTTTGGCGAAAAATTCGATGTTTTCATGTTTTCACAGTGGACAACTGTTATTGTCATTCTTTCCTGACAATCAGTGCCTCAACACGTGTAACATCACATACTATGAGCTTGTGAGGTTATTACATATATTTCTCTTTAAAATTAAAAAAATATCCCTTTGCGTTTCTTTTTTTGAAGAGTATATATATGCTGCTCACGTTCTAAAATATTAGATATTTTCATATTTGGGGAAATGTTGTTAGCACATACTTCATTATTGTCATCATAACAGGGACTAAGCCAAATGTTGCCAGGTCGGGCACCAGGTCAACGGTGATGGAGGGGATACAGGTAGGGACAATCTGTGCCCTCGTCACCAGGAATCTCGCTTCATCCTGTGTATGTCTGAAATATCGTATCATACAAAACAAATACGACGTTGAAACATTGGTGAAAGAAACACCACAAGTCTTTGACTCTGTCTTGAGTGACAACACACTACACACAAAGAAAGCTGATAAGATATGTCACACTGGGAGATAATGAGGCGCCAATTGAGAATTAATAACAATCTGTGCACATTTATTAATTGGACAAAACGTACAGATGTCTATTTATATTAAGTGATAAGTCACTATTAGATTTTGCAAACGACATACACCCAGAAAACATGATACAACTTGGATGCTGTTAGTAGCCTGATACCGCTCCTGCAGTCGGTAGATTGTCCTAACATGAACATTAAAATGATTGGCTACTCTCCGTGCAGTGCAGTCAGCCCAACTTGCAATCGTGCAATGGTTCCTCTGATCTCTCGTAAGTTGTGGTATGGCGATTGTATCAACACAAGAATGATTTCAGGCGAGTTTGGGACTCGCTTTCATTGGTATGGTTGTCACGATGTGCACGTACATTTTAATTTTCACGGATGTCATACGGCTCCTTTTACCACGTGTGCCTTTTCAGGTGCGTTTGGTTGATATGCTTTTTCATCAGAAAACACACTGATGTTGTAATAACTGTCAAATCGGTTGGAAAAACATGTTAACACAAAGGTACATTTGGTTTTGAAAAGTGACGTTTCTTTTGCGGTTCAGTATATTACTACAAGATGATCTTTTAGATATCCTATATCATATTGAAGAGGGTTTGTTTGGGGGCGTGTGTTGTAATACCATTTCTCGCCGGAGATTTTAATGCTTGAATTCCGGAAGTCTGGCAGCGGAAGCTGCGCAATTGTCTGTTGTGAGATGGCGACCAGTAAACACATGTCAAGCGATGTGGCTTCATGTTATCGCTGAGTAGTACCGGAAGGATGAGTCTACGGACAAATACACAACAACACATTCGACTGAGTTCATCCCAGGCATGCTCAATTGGGTTGAGGTCTGGCGAGCATGCTGGCCACTCCATCCGCTCTACACCCTGCTGCCATGACAATCCTCGCTCTATGAGACCAAGCGTAGTCGTCTTTCAGTAAAGAGGGTCGACCATAAAAGCCATGCATAGCTTGTAGGAATGGTACTCCTATAGGAGCCAGAATCCCGTCCCGATAACGCTCTCCGATCAGAGTACCATAGACCACATTCGGTAGAGTACGTTCAGTAGGAGTTATCCCTACTGAACCGACCGAACTGATTGTTATCAATGAAGTGGTTTGTCTGAAGATCTGTTGCGTTAAGGAATCTGTTACGTAACGCAGTGTTAATCATGTGCCTATCATCTCGGACTGTTGTGACCCTGGGGCGACCAGGTCAACTTGCATATTCCACGGACCCATTGGCTTGAAATCTCTGCACAGTCTACCAATAGCACTCTGACGCACATTAAAGCGGACAGCAACCTGCCGTTGAGTTTGACCAGATTCCAAAGGCCTATAGCCTGACCCCTTTCAGCAAGTTAAAACGTCTCATTTTAAGCTGCGATTTTAAACAGGTACATCAAGAGTGAACGACAATGACATTTATCAACGCATATGTATTGTCCTCCACTTTCCATGGATAGAGCGAATTGCATGTGCAAATCATTGACATTAAGTGGAAGTGGATTTTTATAGTGTCAATTTGAATTAAAAAATGCCATTTGTAACAGAATGTAAGTGAAAGAACCTAATAATGAAATTTCAACGGCCAGTGTTTTCCATACTGTTAAGACATTTTGTAAGACATTCAGTTGTATATATTTCAAACAAAACACGAAGATTTTACAACTTTTAAGAAATTGTGCTACCAATAGCTTGACCCTTCATTAAAGACGCCGAGTATATATATTACCTGTAAATATTGTACAGTAGTGTTTTGCATCATTTTGTAAACTTAATTTTAGGAAGCATGTGTGAATTACATATAGTTTCTTGTTGTTTGCTATTAGTTTCACACCTCGTTCTTTTACGGACTGGTTCACGGATTTCTTTTCTTTTCTTGAAACTTGTATGAAAATATGTAGTAATTAATGAAAGCGACAATATGATTCTTTTATGAAATGTCTCATTGTCGCACTTTGATATAATGTGACATTCCATCACACACCTAAGGCATTTAAACACACCATAAGCATGATTCACCTTCTTGGGCGAACCTTTGAGATCTTCATCACATTGGACTTTCTAAACATAGAATCGAGTCAAAATTTTCCTGGTGACTCACACTTTAACTGACGGTTATCTGAAGCACCACATCTACTTTGACACCTCTTATATTTTATTATTATAGTTTGATCCTTATATAACAGTATACAGGAGCGGAATTTGGTATCTGGTCCATTTACAGTGCTCCCTGCTTATAATGCCATCCTGGATATACTAGCATTTGCAATGTGTTTTGGAACAAAAGTCATTTTCCCCTGGTTATAATGACAATTACACTGGAAGCATGTAGTATACATACCATAATTGGTTAATTGACATGACTCAAATTGATTGACTAAACTCATTAATGCTTAAAGCAGTCATGTAATGCCAGATAGGATAACACATGTGGCAATACACTTCTGCCACCTACAACAACAAGTCACCTGCAGCGCTGGGATTATCTAGTCATCCAAGGTTAATTACAGGAGACATCTTCTCAATCACCTTCTTGATTGCACAGGTCCTCTAACTGTCCTACCTGGTTATAATGCCATATTCTCTGGATATAGAGCCATATTTTCTCCTGGACAAACGCTGGCATTATAACCAGGGTGTAGTGTACTTGTATTAGGTTAATGTACATCATCCTAAAAGCAAGCCCAGTTTGATTCTGTCTGAAATGAACATTTAAAACTGTGTAGACTGAACATCATGTTTCTCGATATCTTCAGCAGCTTCAGGCTGTGTTGGTGGTACTTCTGAATCAGGATACTCCTTAACGACACCATACTTGAGCAAAAGGAAAGCTGCAAAGAAGCCAACTGACGATAGCAACTGAAGTCCCGTGTCCATCCCTTTCATACGATACCGTAGGCTAGGGAGATCATACAGTGCGCATGCTCCGACCTCACCACACGTTGTTTCCCAGAGAGTGCACGTGGTGTCAATGACCTTTCCATACACTATAGATGATGGAAGGAAACCTAGAGGAAAGTATATATTAACTCTGTCAAAAAAGAAACGCAACCCCTGTCCTCAGATATGAAAAATTCGTTTGAATGAAGTTATTGCTTCCAAACTAAATTTTATTCGAATGTATTGAAATGATACACGTAATTAATGAAGATTACCATCCAAACAACTGCATTTGTACGCATAAGTGTATTTTATTGCTTATTCCGTCACAACGCATGAAATGACCTCATGGTGACTTCTGCACAAAAAACACATGCAAATCATGAAAATGGCAGTTAATGTAGAGGTGTATAAAAGCCCATGTGCTTCCGTATTATATTCATTCATTTGTCGCCGAAAAGCTGTGTTAAAATGCCACGAATGAGTGCTGCCAACCGAAATATCGCCATTGGTCGTGTTCAAGCCGGAGAAAGTTTTGGAACTGTTGCACGGCACCTAAATGTTCACAAAACAACGATATCCCGACTTTGGAGCCGCTACAACAACTTCAATTTGACCAACGATCGCCCGAGAAGTGGAAGGCCAAGAATCACGACCCACCGTCAAGATCGGTACATCCGGGTCCATCACCTGCGTAATCGGCATGCCCTACCAACCGTGACTGCCACACAAATACCAGGTTTGAGGAGAGTGTCAGCTCAAACGATTAGGAACCGTCTGAAAGAAGCGGGTTTACGTGCCTGTAGACCAGTTGTTGGACCTGTACTACGCCCCTACATCGACGCCGACGACTCAGGTGGTGCAACAACGTAAGGATACGGACTTTACAAAACTGGAGGCGAATCTGGTTTTCTGATGAATCACGTTTCTTTGCAACGTCACGACGGAAGACAGCGTCTGTATAGGAGACGTCATAACGTTTTGCGCCCATCTGCGTCCGACAGGTGGACAGATTTGGCGGAGAAAGCGTCATGGTTTGGGGAACCATCTCATACAACCAGAAATCAGACTTGGTGATCGTTCCAGGAACCTGACAGCCCAACGTTACATCAACCACGTGTTAGAGCTTCACCTTCTCCCGATTATTGACCAACAGACACAGATTTTTCAACGGGACAACGCCCGGCCTCATACTGCACGTGCAACAATGAACTTTCTGCAGAATTCCAACGTCAATGTCTTGCCATGACCCTCTAAATCACCAGACCTCAACCCTATTGAACACCTGTGGATACTCTGATCGACGCGTACGTCAACGTCAGCCGCCGCCACAGACGCTGCAACAGCTCGCCGTTGCACTGCAGGAGGAGTGGAGAGCCATTCCCAGGAAAGAATCCGGCGTCTTATCCGTTCTTGTCCAAGGAGATGCCGTGCAGTGATTGCAGCGCGTGGTGCTCATACGAGATACTGAGAAAGACGCCCCCTGGTGACAAACTGGTGTCTGTGAGATGACTTTTGAAATGACAATTTTAAACATGCCCATCTGGGTTATTATTCTGCCAAATTTCAGACTTCTGTCTTAAATAATAAAATGCCGTGTCGTCCTAAAACTTCAGATCAAAATCTCTAAAATACAGGGGTTGCGTTTCTTTTTTGACAGAGTTTATGATCATAAGTAACATCAGGATATACACACAACATTACACACAGACCCGTGAAGATCCGGGTAAGAATTTGTCTCCAGTAACCCATGCTTGTCGTAAGAAGCGAGTTCACATGTCATCGTTTCCCAACTGCGAAGATCGATGCTCATGATGTTGACCTCTGGATTGCCTGGTCCAGACTCGATTATTTATAGACCGCCTCCATATGGCTGGAATATTGCTGAGTGTGGCATTAAACAACCAACCAACCAACCAACCAACCAACCAACCAACCTTCTATTGTATCAAGCATCAATTTGTCAATGTAGATTTGAAACTAAAGATGTCATAATTTGGTTAATAGTATCTATTCAATGTAAATAATATAATGTTATATATCGAATGTAACTTGTCGTCGTAAGATGACACGTTTTTTAACTTTTCGATGTCATAGAAAGGTGCAAAAACGCCCCAGCTCCTTCACCTTCAAACTTGTAATAACTTGGAGCTGTCATTCTTATAATTAATACTGAAACTGATAAGTAGCTTCTAGACATGGCATCTCTGAAGCCTGTCTCATGTACATTGTTGTTAAAACAGATATGTGCCGGCGGGCGTTATATCCTACACTTACCGATGAAACTATTCAGGAAAGATGACATAGCGACAGCCATGGATTTGTCCCTTGGGTGCACTGTTCTTTCAGGGAGTTGACAAATAATCAAATTATAAGTCAAAATAATCAAAACAACAATAATTTGTCTTTGACATAACAGGATGTGTTCATAAATCATTATAGTGCTCCGTATTTGGCATAAAAATACAGCACTTGTTCAGCTCTATACAACTAAACTAATTTCTCACTTAAATTACATGTTTCACCGTGACCTGTCATATGACCTTCATTAAATGCTTGTCCTTGGAATTATAATGTTAATGTTACGAATCGCAAAAAAACCGAGCGAGTTTGTCTTCGACTAAATGACCACAGCTAAGATTTCAAACATTTTAAGGGATCAATGAGGCATCAAAATGAGAAGTTTCACAAAATACTGATGGAACTCAAGTCGGTATTTAAGCGTATCCGTTTCTTTATCCTTTCCAATCTAGGAAACATCGAGATGTGTCATATCAAAAGTTATTATTTATAAGACAATATTCATGCGTAATATATCATTCTATATATACTTGATGATAGACTAATATCTATACAGAACTGCCTATAGATTCATAATAGAAACCACCACTCATGAAAACGACAAGAGATATGACTTCAACGTTTCAACAGTCAGCGTTCCCTAACAACAAGCAATATTCAGCTCCCAAAAATTTTCAGTGGTGGATGCACGTTAAAGAACATCATGCAAAAAGGTTGTTTGAATAGGGTTCCAGTATTTAGGGGTTTAGTAAAACTTTCAAACGTTAATAGACATGTAAAGGACATTTCCAACTGTGTCACTTCAGTGACAAAAATGACGCTCCATGTAGTTCTCTAGTTTGGCTTGTACCATTTGTGACCGTGTATTTTGTCAGGAGAGTAACCGACTTGCCTCTTCGCGAAAGCTTGGTATCATGTATTGATATATAGGAATGGCACAAGGGACGGATTGTTTGTAGAAAATCTTTCATACATCTATATTGTTCCTTTTCATAAACCACAGTACTTCCTGTAGCCTACAATTTCTATATGTGAGCCCTGTACTTTTATAGCTTTTATGGTTTTTCCATTAAGTAGTTGGAATTTCTCTACAATTTTGTACTGTAGTATTCTGCTTCAGTCCCAACCCATGGCATCAAATAGTCTAGATGTTGATTGAATGTCCCCTTATCATATTGGCCAATCCAAGACATTGATAAAAGAGAAACCTTATTTTATTGACATATATATTTTCACATAAACCTATATTATGTTAATACCGCAGCAAGCTGCTTACGTTCCAAAATATTACATATTTGCATATTTATGAAAATGTTTTCAGCACCTACTTCATTATTGTCATCATGACAGGGACTAAGCCAAATGTCGCCGCCAGGCCGGACACCAGGTCAACAGTGATGTAGGGATACAGGTAGGGACAATCTGTCGGGCACCTGCCCATTGTGCCCTCGTTACCAGGAATCTCGCTGCATCCTGTGTATGTCTGAAACATCGTATTATACAATACAATACAAACACGATGTTGAAACATTGATGAAAGAAACACCACAGGACTCTGACTGTGCCTTAAGTGTACTCACAAAGAAGCTGATAAGATATGTCACACTGGGAGATTATCAGGCGCAATTTGAGTATTAATAAGGAACAATCTGTGGACACAACGTACAGATGCCTTGTAATATTATGTAAAAAGTCACTTTTAAATCTCAACAGAGATTTTGCAAACGACATACATCCAGAAAACATGGTACAACAAGACTACATTAAAAAATGCAAAAATGGTATTATATTACTACAAGAGGATCTTTTAGATATCCTATCTCATATTGAAGGGGAGTGAGGTGCTCACAGATCCCTCCTGGGATTGAAATCCCTCCAAACAAAAAGTGAAACACCCACAGTGCCTTTCCGACATCCTGACATACAAGGAGTGTGCTACGTACTGTGCCATTTTGAGACTGGCATCCTGCCATACAGGGATTGATATACGTCACGTTGTCAACTCCACACAGAGGCATGAACTCAGTTGCATCACAGTTGCAAGACGTATTGTTGACCATGGAGTAGCTGAAATATATGGGCAATGTCAACGTCAGTCATTGATAGGGTCTTCCCCAGGCGATAATAAGTTTTCTCTTTGAATAAGGAGATGTTGCTTACCTTACTCATAAGATTGTCCAGTTGTTGATCGTGGTCATCTTCTACAATAACATCCTAAATAAGGATTAATTTCAAAACAAGATTGTCTCGTAATAATTGTCACTCACCCGCTGTCACCTAACCCTTTGATGTTCTGGCTGTCACACCCTAAGACCAACGTTAGAGAATAGAGGACAGTTCCAATTGATACCACTATGGTCGTGAGCTTTGTACATCCAATGCTGGTAAGCCGGAGTCGGCTGGTGACTATGCCTCCAAGAAGGGTGCCCACAACCGCCCACAACAGCTCTAGAATACCTTCAACACGTTGTGACATAAAGCTGTGAATTGCGTTGAGAAACTTCAAAACAATCATATTATCGCTTTTAATAATCTCTTTCCACAACAGTAAATAAATCACCGGAAACAAAATGGACTATCCCCAGACAGGCTCAGAAGACTCTACCTTGACCCGCAGTGAGCTTACAGATAAGAGTCACTCACAATCTGGGATGATGTGCGATTATCATCGAGAGGTAGGGTAATCTCTGTTGTTTCACTACACTGTCCCGCACCCTATATATCTGACTACAAAACGTATACGTCGTTTGAATGTAGAGATCGCTACTTACTCAGTATGAAGTTCGCCTCAGCTGCTGTCGTAGCAAATTGGTTCGCGATGTATTTTGGAGCAAAGCTTAAATAACCACCAACAAAGAACAAGCCACTGGCGCTTCCAAAGAGGAGACAGTCGACTACTGGATTTTTTAATATTCGTAATACCGCCCTTGGCATGTCTGCGGGTGCAAAACAAATAAGACATTAGTATAATAATTGGAGCATGAGAAATTGGATGGCGTTCAAATGCAATCAGTAAGTGACTGACTGGTGTGGAAAGAACATAGGTGAGCGGCATTATTACAACATGTAATCATGTGCCAGTATTTGAAGTTGTAGGATGATTGAATGGAACTAAAAGGCTTGAAACACCCATGCATCATAAGGAGTTTATACTGGGAAAAGATATGCCACATAACCAATGTGTCCTTCAGTTCTGTTTTCGCGTCATTTCCATTTTATCAACACATATCACCCCTGTATACACAAGCAAGTAAATTGATGTGGATGAGTAATTACAAGCATATTACATACCGTGATGTCTAGAACGACTCGTATCCCAGGAAATGTACACTTACCCAATACATCATCTTTCAGTGACTTGGTCGTGTCTTTGACTGTCGGCTTCTTTATGTGCCTTGGAAAGCAGCCTAATGGTACAGCAAGGAAGAGAGCTGCACTTCCAAGCACCAGATACCCGATCCACCATGCACCGATCCACTGCGGACTACTTTTATCTAACTGTGTGTCTTGAAATACAAACATGCTATACCCAGTAAATATGGAAATGTGTGCGTGTGTGTGTGTGTGTGTCTGTGTGTGTGTGTGTGTCTGTCTGTGTGTGTGTGTGTGTGTGTCTGTGTGAGAGAGAGAGAGAGAGTATTGACATGAATAGGCTCTTTGCAGGTGGTCTTTACCACCGACGCGATACATTTAATCATAACACATAACAAAAGCATGAAAAACACCAATCACGTACAGTGTGTCACCTGATAACCTCAGCGTTCGCACTTGCATTGGAATGCAGGCACACAGACAATGTTAACATGGCAACGCATCAAACTTACACGTTTGATAACAAAGCAAGTATGCCACGACTCACAGATCAGCAGTTTAATGCTGAAGGCTTAATTCTGGACAATCCGTTGCACGAGTACTGGATCGTCACACTAGTTATTGACATCAACTTTTGGGGTCATGGAACGCCATGCTTGACTTTTATATGATTTCATTGTCTGCATTGCATTCTGGATGATAGCAGTATGTTTCACATTTTTTTGTAATATAATGCACACGATTTTATCGTGGGCTTCATTGAAAGTTTTAATTTGGTTGTGTATTGCTATATATTTTTATTGAAATCTCCGTGTTTGTGAACCATGATTTTCGAGACTACGTTACCTATTTTTCAAATGTAGTTGAAACGGAAATCTTAATAATTGTTCACTTTAAAAAAATGCTGCATGCGCATTTGTATTTGATGCATTATTGTTTTCTGCGAATTTGTGTGTAGAGTGTATTATTTCTTGTAAGACGTTCTTGTGAAGGCAGGTGGAGTTGTTTTGAGTAACTGTTCTGCTCATTATTACTATCAGCACAAAACCCACCGTTAAGATTAAGAGGAAAATTGCTGAACCATCCACCAAGACCGAGTGCAACAGCTGGTCCAAGGAACGCCATAGTCATAATGATACCTGCAAGACCATGGATGCAAAAAACAATGCAATCAGTATATTGGATGAACCAGTTCCTACAGATACACCTACTTTAAAACGCACAGAGTCTTGTAAACGCATAACTTCCTCTATAGTACAACTTTGTCTGCATGCCAAACTTCTTATACAGCCCCCCCTTCCTCTACACTCATCGTCATATGAGCGAAATATTCTCAAGCACGACGTTAAACCCAATTTCACCTCACCTCTACACTCAAAAGTTCCTCAAAATGCACTACTTCCATAGCACGCAAGCGTTGTCTACACATGTAATTTCCATTCCCTCTTTCCTCTACTGCACCAATTTCTTTTCACGTACTACTTCCATGCATCTGCATCTGCAAGATCTACTTCCTCTATAAGCGCTATTTCATCTACTAGCTCTGTTTTGTCTACAATTACAACTTCGGTTACTCCCCCAAGAATGGAAACGCGAAAGGGATGAAATGTGAAATGTCGTTCAAGCTTGGAGCAGCACTGCACAGCACAGCACAGGAGCAGAGTAAATGGCTGCATACCTATACAACAATATAGTTTGGCCCTCTAGATCGCCACATTTGACAACAGAACATTTGTTAGGAGATAGATATATGGTTACGACAGCGACTACGACATCCACAGCCTCTCCCACAGCAGGTATTAGCACTGCAAGCCAAACGGGCCATCATTGCCTGTACGGGGATTATATAGTCTTCGGACCCTTGAAGATCCCTTGAATTAATCTTCAGCACCCATGCTTGCCGTAAGAGGTGACTAATGGGATCGGGTGGTCAGACTCACTGACTTGGTTGCCACATGTCATCGTATCCCAATTGCGTAGATTGATACTCATGCTGTTGATCTATGGATTGTCTGCATACCTATACAACAGTGGCTGTAGGTGACCTTAACCCTGTAACCTTAACTTGGTGAAAAGAAGCTTGGTTCATCCGAGAACCATTATCCACAATGTTTTTACTTTCTCTCTGTTGTTATTCCAGATATATAATTGTTTTCCAATATCAAAAACAATAGTGGTGTGCATTTCTTTAGGACTATAGTTGCATGTTTGATGTGTAACGTTTACAACAGAAAAATGGATAAATATTCTACAAAATACGTTTACTTACTGCTATCGATATACAGTGTATCTGATTGTCAGTAATTGTCAGATATCATATTTTGTATATGATCACTCATGTATATTTATCTGCATATCCGCCGGCAAAATACTGTTTGTTCCTTCGTTAGTTGTTGAAGGTGCACACATCTTGTTTCAGTTGCACGAATCTCAAGTTTGCCAATTCACTGAATTCGATTTGGTCTGATAGCAAACTATGATATGCATTATTATATAGCTCGAGTGGTTTATACAAATTACACTTAAATAATATCTTTGTCTAAAATATCAAGATCTCGGCTGAAAATGGGACTCCTGTTCCTTGTTATGACATATCGAACAACGAAGGTTTACATTATGGCATAACGCCGTTTTCTTTGAACAATCCGAATGTCTTTATAACAAACCATAAACTTCTGGTTTACATCATGAAACAAAGGTTTCATCGTGTTCTCTCCTAGTTCCTTAGCTTCTTCTCAGCCAATGTAAGACTTCATAACTTACCTGTTAGTAAGCTTGACTGCTGTTTGTCACGGGAATTATTGTCAACGTACGGTAAACCCAGGGAAAACCGTGGGGATTTACCCACTCCTTGTAGCACCATAAGCACGGCAAGCACATTGTACACCCAACGTCCGTTGTCAGTCGCTTGGTCCTTCGTGGCTGAACATCTCTCATGTTCATGAACGGAATCCTGGCACAGCCTGGCACTTTGTTGAGAGGAATAATTGGAGAATACGTCCTCTTCACCAGGCAGCGATACAGGATTCATGAAGTGTAACAGACCTGACATTAGACTAGAAATGCCATACACGGCCACTGCGCAGGACAGGATCCTAGGTATAAAGCGCTTCCCCCCAAAATGGCTGAAGAAGAAAATAGCTGAAAGATAACCGATTTCGTTGCAGCTTAGGAGGAGGCCACTTCTTGTACTGCTGAGCCCAAACTGCTTTTCCAGGGCTGTGATCTGAGACACGGTGTAAGACTTGACTGACTCCAGCAGCAGTGACGTCACACTAAACACAGCAGTGAACCAGAGGATGTTGTTGAAACATCCATTTCCTCCAGATTCAGCCATGACGTTGACACTCGTGCCGTTCTTCTTCATCTCTTATCTAACAGGGTAAAGGAGATGTCTTAAGCACTGCAAAGTAATGTTTCCTCTAAACAGAACGCAACATATCAACGCGATTAGCAGTGTTAATTGTGCATTTATGTAATACAAATAAATTGACCGATCAAGTGAATGAAGGGTAAATATGCTGATCTCTTTGTTCCACATTGGTGATCTGCAATAGTCTTTTTTTTTCAAGCATGCTGGTCATTATTAACACATCCGTTACCCGTATTAAGTGGACTTATCTATTTGTGCTGATCTCAGTTTGTCTCAGTCTGATTATGTTTTCATGGTTTTAGGTTTGTATCTAAAGTTCGCAACTAACGGGAGTTATAAAAACGCAAGCTTGTTTCTTAGAATTTGTGCTGAACATGGTTTGTTGTAAGACGCGAAAGATCAGCAAACGAAACGCCATATGTTCTAAATGAGGTACAAACTAAGAGATTCGCAGATACGCAACGCCGCGGAAGGGAAGTTGTCAGTGGTTCCTGTAAACAGCAACATGCGGGGTATCTATGGTTTACACATGACCCCACATGTCAAGCTGACCCCACATGTCAAGCTGACCCACAGGTCAAGCTGACCCCACATGTCAAGCTGACCCAACATGTCAAGCTGACAACCATGACATCGATATGACAGTCATGATGATTATGAGGAAAGAATGCTGTCCAGAGTGCTCAGGTTGTTGACAATGCATACCCAGCTCCATTCAGAACGATCTTCCGTTTGCAACATCTTTATTACGTCAAAACAGTACCGATTACCATCAACATAGTGGTAGACCTCGAATCCCATATCCTCCGCCAGCACCTGCAGAATCGATTATCGATGGAATCGAACCCCATATCCTCAGCGTGACGAGCGGACGCTTTAACCATTGGGCTACCCCACCGCCCCGGACATATCAGTGATATATGTAAGATAGTCCGACGAACGAAGATTGAAAATGATCTCTTTGTAATAATTGTAAACTTATTGTTGGTATTAAATGGGTGTGAATATTAAAGCAAAAACCGATTAACAATTCACTGGGAAACTTTATCAGCCAGAGCAGCGAAAGTTTCCGGCTTGCTGAAGGTAATGATTAAAGAAAATGGACATGTTTACTGTAATACAAAATCAAATGTATGTCGATGTAATGACAGTTAGTGTTAACTGCGTGTGTTTGTGAAAGTTGTGTTGAAAACACATCAATAGGGAACTGATCGAGAAACAACTGATGAGTGTATGAAGCCTCCTACCATCAGTTGAAACGACGCAGGGTCCGGCGTTAGAGCAGGCAACAATCCCAGAAGCCCATTCTTTGTAAAAGCATAATTTTTGTTGCAAAAAGACGAACCTAAATTACCAAACTAAATTATAAACTATCCAGCTGGAGACACGAAATGTCCAACTCTGACATCATGGCGGTGTATCAAGTACAAAATTCACATCCCAGTGCTTACCGTTCGCCTGTCTGGGAAGTTGCACACACTACTTCTTCTTGTTATGTCCCATTGAAATCAGTGGATCCATACACATCTAATGTCAGTGGATGTTTTATATTGTAATTCAATGTCACATTTGTGACGACCTTCCTGATAATACGCGTCATGCGTTGAGCGAGAAAAATGTAAATAGTTAGCTCGTCACCTCCCGTGTTCTTTAGGTGATAAACTAGAACTGCTGGTCGGTCGAGAAAAACTGTATAGTGCAGGTTATCTATATACACACTATATAGTACACTGTCAACCATCTGTGTGCTATGTCATACAGGCATGTTAATGGGCACATATCCGATATGACAAGCAGCTGGAGATGGACACCATGGACTAGATATGTACTTGTATGCGGTAAAGATTCCTCCTCACCTTACCAAGGAGTACTGACGTACATCGTGGTGACGTACGATCCCCAATTCTAATTCGTTTTATTGTATCAAAAGCAACTTCCCACATGCAAAGGTATATACAGTTTCAGCTGGTATTGTTCATTATAGGTTCATGACATTTAACGAATTGAGATGGCACAGTTAAATTGGTGTTTTCTTTATCATAGTGACAAATGACAAATTTTAACGAGGTTAACCTAAGCGGGGGCTTGGCTTACACATATAAATGAACGATATGAATTGATTGTGTTTTTAGCTGTATATGTCGTCGACATATAAACTGTTCTAATACATTTGTTTTGTTCACGGGACCAAAATTAAATGTTCTAAAAAGAACAATTTCAGTTTTATCAAATATTTACTTTGTCTGAGAACAGCATAATACCATCTGCCAAAACAATCACACTTTCACAACCAATTCATTACGTAATTTGTTACCCAGCATACAGTGAACTGGGGGCATTCCCTTGTGTTATACCAGCTGCACAGTTAAACACCTCACAAAGTAGGTCAGTTATATCTCCAACCCGTTACGACAGTCTTCCATCCTATACAGACATATCACTTGCTCATAACTCGCATCAAAATAATGCCTTTACAATTCTAAAACTTGATTTTATTTATTTTATACAATGGTGGAATAGTACCCAATGTTTTCTCTGGAGCAAGTCATAGGTATGTTATATGTGTTGACTTTTGTTTAACTAACAGCTTGATATCGGCTCTCTGTGCACGAGGTGATACTCTTGTTCTTGCGGACCTCAACGCTGATATGTCAAGGGTAGGGCTGCTATCACGAAACACGCATTCATTTATCTAGTGCTGTGAGCACACACTCAATACTGAATACAATCGAAGAATATGTACTACAAACAAAAAGTATGGGAACACCCTAAAATTTGATAGTCATATATAAACTTTAACGTGGTGAGGTCATTTATACTCTAAGGTAAATGCAACTTTCTGTGTGTTTAATGGGTACTTGAAACGACATGTTGGAACATGCAGTGAAGCAACTGATTCAATATACGTTGAGTTTGAGTGAAATGAAACATTGTCAAAATCAGCGAAATACACGGGTGCTGAAATACACTAGCATCATGTTTGATTCAAACGCCCAAACAAAACAGCCTAGTGCATCTGGAGGATAGACTTCCCTTGCGACGATCACCCCCACCCCCTCTGCATCCGTCTATTCAGTATATGACATTTCATATTAAAGGCCTTTGTCATGGCTACCCATGTCTTAGCTAAGATACATAGCGCTCACACACACGAACGCTATGAAGCACCCCTATAGGCCGCAAAGGAAGAAATCCTTTGTTGCACTTTCGAGCACCCGTTGCGACTATTGCGCACGAAAAACCTATATGAATGACTTCTTTGTACTTATACCTACAAGTGCGCCCTATTTTCGTTATCAAAATATCCAGAGGTTAATATTTGCAAGACATCAAACTTCACAGTCGATCACTCGCATGTCAGCGGCGTCATTTTGAATCACCTTACCTGACGTGTCGGGCATTCCCTTCTTAGAATAGTAACACACGTGTAGAAAAAACCTTCTGTGTGTTACTAAAATGGAATGGAATTTCCGATTCTGCAGTTTGGAATTATGCACTGAACTAGTACAAGTGTGCTCAACTACCTGTAGAATTATTTTGAATTAAATGTGTATCAGTTTATTAACGTTTTTTGATCAGTAAAAACACAGAATGTGTTTAAATAAGAGATTTATAGAATACTCGATTTCTGCATTAAAGCGGGACAATTACTTTGGATTAGCCACAGAGTCACATGCTCCTAATTTGCTACAGCTATGTTCACTGGTCATTTGGAATTGCCTAAATACACAGAGACTTAGTATCATTGTCTGAAAGTTATTTTAAATATACCAAGTGTATAGAGAGAGAGGAATTTCACCTGAGAGAAAAGTCAGCCTGATTATAAGGTTTGAGCGTTTGTGCCTCCAGTCAATAAAGTACATGTCAATAGAGAGGGAAGTGCAGAGTATGTTTTTTGCCCAACACGTTTCTGGAGGAGGACTTTAACTTTACGCAAGAGAATGTTTGTAATATCTTTTAATGAGTAATATGTCATTAATGATAGCAAATTATTGAGAAATGCATTTCAATTTCCAAATATCTTGACATTCACGCTTTAGAAGCTTCCATTATGTGTCGAAGATGGAGTATTATGTTGGTTGTTTGCTATATGGTTAGGCAGTGTTTGTAATTGCAATGTTTCCTATTTGAGAGATTTCAGTCTTTAAATAACTACATTATACACAATAATCTGTGTTTTCACAATAGTTTCTTGTCAGTTGCTATTTAGGCATATTGAAGTGGTCAGTCATTACATTAATCTTATTATACTTTCTCCTCATATAGTCAGGGCATAAGTGGCATGCATTGTATTATATATTTACAATTTCAAGAGCATTGTTCCCACATGGGAGAATCCATCAGGAAAACGGGGAATCAGGTTTCAGAGGAGATATTTGTCGGATATAATAATGCAATATTCTGAAGTTGTGTATGTATCAAAGGGATTATGTAAAAATGTATTTATTTGCTGTATTTCGTTGTTGCAGATCACACCTGGTGGTCCACATGGTCATTAAACCAAGCTATTAGACAGAGAATTCTACTTGCAATGCAAGGAAGCCAAGAGAAAACTCCGACGACAGTACTGACAAACGTAACCTTTCTGAAAATCTCGAAATACCCTTAATATATCAGTTCATAGGTTTCGCAAACAAAAACATTGGAGAGATAAATTTGAGTGCAAATACTGTCACGGTCCATGATAAGGCTCATCGTTTCCAGTTATGTAACAATGTCAGAAGGCAAGTAGCCTTCGGTGCCGGTGTCATGGGAGTATTTTGTGTAACAATTGTGTTTTTAATGTCTACATAATGCTACTATATAAACCCATGAATCATTGCAGAGAAACACCTTTTTAGCCGGTATGTTCAAACACTGCTAATTGTGAATATACATATACATATATATATATATATATATATATATATATATATATATATATATATATATATATATATATATATATATATATATATTATAGCTTATGGTAAGGACAAACAATATATTTGTCAAATTATTGAAATTTATACTTTTTGCCTTTAACACAAGGAATAAATATTTCAATGTCAAAACAGTTAAGGACCTTTTTACTAATGTTAATTGTCATTAATTATCACATATTTAAGTTTTTAAAAGTGATAGAATTGTTTGTTAAATTTTGATTAATATGTTTTGTGAATAGATAAATGATATTTTATAAACGGTAGAATAAATGGTTTTGACCTCGAATGGGGTTAAAGAATTGTAAAAATATTGTCCTCCTGAGAGGGTACACGTACATGTATGTAAGTCCGAAAGCTTTAAAAATCAACTTAGCTGTACCAAGCTATTTCAATCGTAGAATATTGGCTGGTTGTTCTGGCTTTAAACAACCACATGCGTGACATCGGCTAGTTTATCCACCTAAAAACATCAAACTGTCAGTACTTTTTATAAAGGAGTATTTCAAAGCCTTAGCTTGATTATAGACTGTGAAGTGTAATTTCCTTAGAAGGGGTAGTCTCAAGATCTTTCATCTGCCTCAGGGTCATTTCCTTTCTCGACTTGAGTGAGTGAGTTTAGTTTTTACGCCGCTTTAAGCAATATTCCAGCACTATCACGGCGGGGACACCAGAAATTGGCTTCACACATTGTACCCATGTGGGAATCGAATCGGGTCTTCAGCGTGACGAACGAACGTTTTAACCACTAGGCTACTCCACCGCCCCTTCTTCGACTTGAACAGGTGGTATGGTTCATGAGTCGGTTATTCAGACTGCTGGCCATATTCCAACCATTTACTTTATAATTTTAGGTAAAATTCATTATCCAGACCTACATATGTCATATTAGCTGCTACATGTGACCACACCCATTTTTCTGGCCTTTTTCTGAATTGCATGCTTTCAGTCCAACGTTGATTCCTCTCCATGTGGACTGTCAGTTGCTTATATCAAGGTTGATAAAACTATTTACTTTTGGAATTCAGAGACATTTGTGTCAGCCTTCCCACGATGATTTACCAAACACTGAGATTGATTTGAGTGTTTGATTATACAAACAAACCTGAAACAGTCTCCATCACACCATGTCATAAGTGTCAAAACGATATTCCATGAATGTAGCTTACTCTGCTTGGATTTCATGATGTCAGGCAAAGGCAAACAGCAGACCATTAATGAATCTGAAATATGTATCTTTACTGGTTTTAAAGGTTAATGAATTGTTCATGTTTTCATCGTTGAAATCATACGTTTGTTTGGTATGATCTTGGCTGCCTCAAACATGCATGAAATTGATCCATCACCCTCGTCTTTTATAAAAATTATGAATTGATTTCCATAGTATGTGTAAAATAACGTGTCCTTAAAACCTTTATTAATGCAAAAAAACATAATGAAATATACATCATTTAACACTTGTAGCATAGTCAGTGCATCTAATCAGTATATACTTGTGTGTGTACGCGTGTGCTGTACATGTATAAATCACTACAATCTACTACACCAAAGTAAAAAAAAGAACATTTAACGAGCAGTTTTCTAAGAGAGTTTTCATTACAGATGATTGGATGATTAAGTGTAACATTGTGTTTTACACGCATCCAGTAATTGAAATTGACCATTTTTTCAACATTTAGTGCTATCGTTTTCAAAATGATGACGTATGCTGAATGTCTCCACGGAATATTCCAAGCGAGTGACGAGCTTCCTGTACTCGGAAAAAGAACTTGGTAAGCTGATCACTGTGCATACCGGTACATGTTACCAGCTGCTGAGGGCTTAGTGAATTAAAATAAATAATATGTAGCGTCACTATAAAAGTCTATAAGAAATCGTTTGGAATAGTCAAAACCCATTGCCATTGGTTTGGAGTAACGTTCCTTGTTTGTAGGAACGTTGTATCTTTCACTAAATACTTACCTCGCCCAGAAATACAACCCATATACATGTGTTCTTGGCTGTAGATATATGACTCTTGTTTATATATATTTGGTGCTGTTTGTACTTGCAAAAGGGCGATATTGCTTCTAATACATACAAACTGTAGCACTGATTAATCAAGAAAAACAAAATCTGATCCTAGTTGGTGGTATTTTTCGACCTGTTATTGACATGTTGGCATGGCACACTACATATGGTTAATCTCGCAATGAAAAACAGGGGAACCTGTCGTTCACTTCTATCCAATCCTATTTGAAATACTGTGATAAAGGCTAGTATTAAACTCGTTCCCATTTCTAATCAGGTTTCTTTAGTGAGTTGCAGGACGATATATTTCACCAGGGACCTAATGCAGATAAGTAATGGGAACGAGTTGTTTTTATGCTACATCTGACCAAAGCTCTTTTGTCATCAATTTATAAAGTATCAACATAATTTCACCATGTTCATTTGTCCATAAGTCATCGAAGTGCGTATGGATACGGAAATGGGAAAAGATAGTCCACAGATAGTTCATAGTTAGTTTTGTGGTTGGGTCCTTCTTGATCTTCTTGTAGGTAGTTGAATCCTGCAGCACGTTGTCCACCATGGAGTGGAAGTGGGGCTGGTCTAACACAACAGTGGCCCCTACCCTTCTCCGCTGGAACAATGACGATATCTGGGTCTTGCTTGAGTTGTTTGAAGGCCAGCCTGTTGGATTTTGTTCATTGTAATCCCTTGTTGTCACGTTGTTACTGTACACCCCAATTAGCTTCTTGTTGTTCTTGTTAATTATTTATTGCGTGCATATACAAATGTATATATATATGTGATTTTTGCAGGTGTATAGGCAATAGGTATATAAAGATATGAACTAAGTGTCGTCATAGGCGACGCATGACGGTAATCAATATATCTTACCATTATGCGTCGCCTATGACGACACTTAGTTTCCATTGTACACCTGTAGATCCGGTGAACGGCGAAATATCTTATGCAGATAAAAAGATATATATAAGACAAGACCAGATATTTTTTCTTCTTTCAAAAACTATATATATGGGTAATTTCAAAATTGGCAGGATTTTCAATTCTTTATTACAGTAAAATCAAACTCCCCAAGACTGATTTAATTGTTATTCAAATAGAATCTCAAACACTTAATTATTAAAAAATACAAACATGCATGCTCAAATGTACTTATTGACCTTTTACTTGATAGGGTGGGGGAACGTCCTGACCGTTACCATTTCTCATTCAGAATGAAGATTTTGAAATATATTTCATAAAAATCTTTTAAAGATGGCAGACACAGCTTTTACACTGACTTAATCAAACTTGAAGGTAAAAGCTATTATCATGAATCTTGAAAGTGTTATTTTGTATCTTTCATTTTATTTACCACAAAATAATAGCATCTTTCTAAAACATTATTAGGTATATACTAAGCTTTTCAACAGGTGAAATTGTCTAAAATAAACACCAGCTATTACGCCCAGAACACCTTTTGATGACACCAACATAAAGAGGAGTGTTTCATGTATTATCATGAATTATTTAGAGCCGTTAATTAACACCAGTAACGGTTAGGACAATGGTGGTAATGGTTTGGACAGGAATGGTAACGGGCAGGACATAAATCTTAAACAATGTAATTTAACCTAGAAATAGGTAACATGAAAGGAAAAATGATATTAATTTACTTTTAACTGCTAACCCTATTTTGGACAGACAGTGAAATGTGTATTAGAAATTGTAGCTTGTAACAAATATGACATATTTTTTTCCATGCTGTGGTAACGGTTTGGACATTTGTTACATCAATGTAAAACTTGTGAATGAATTTAGGCTTTTGAATAAAACAAATTATAGCTTCTAAAGAATAGGAAAACACACATGTCTAGATTAAAACTCACTTATAATCTCAAGAAGAGTGAAATTGGGGAACAAAAATGAATGAAATGAAACTCAACAGTAAAGTTTTAAGCTACAAACATTAATTTCACACATTCACTTATATCCTAAACACCCTGTGTTTTACGTGACTCATACTTTCTTGACAATGATACAAGAATCTGTATCGAAACATCGCATCATCCGAATAAAGAAGTTCGTCCTTGTTTGTCTGATTCACCAACTTCTAAGCATGCCACTAAAAGAAGTTGTACCACTGTGTACTTTTCCCGCTGGGTTAGAGAACAGGCGTGTGTGCAGTCAAGGAAAATTGAACTTAGTCCTACAACTTAATTTTTGACAGAAAAATAACGGAATAGACCAATGATGATGAGCCATTGAACCCAGTAATGGAAACTGTGCTTTAACAAGAAAGACACACGTTGACATTATATATTACATTAATGACTACTACGTATATTCTCTCCTTTAAGAATATCCTTAAAGAGTGACTTGATGTTTTAACCTATGTAGCTGAAGAGTGTTATATTTATACAGTATACAGGAATACTGTTTTCTTTGTATTTGGTCCATTTTTTAGTTATTGGATTAATCAACATATTCATTCTATATACGTCCCATACGAACACAGTTCCGTTTCCATCTTGAAGGAGCTTTAAAACTGTGTAAGCTGAACATCACATTTCTCAGTATCTTCTGATTCTTCAGGTTGGGTTTGTGGTGCATCTGAATCGGAATATTCCTCAACGACCCCATTTTTTAGTAAAAGGAAAGCTGCAAAGAAGCCAGCTGACGATAGAATTTGAAATCCCGTGTCCATCCCTTTCACATGGTGTCGTAGGCTTGGGAGATTATACACTGCGCATGCGCCGACCTCACCACACCTTGTTTCCCAGAGAGTGCACGTGGTGTCAATGGCCTTTCCATAAACGATAGGTGCTGGAAGATAACCTGGGGAATAGAATAAACTATCATAAGTGACACCAGAATATACACTCTCCACTTTCTATACATTCCAATTCACTTTCCAGTTAACCTTACAAGTTGCTATATATACGTACATATAATGTGTCAATTTGATTTACAGTCTGTCCAAGATTAAGCATATATATTTGGATTTTCATTTCTTATATGTTTAAATGGAATCTACATGACACAAATAATTACAATACAAAAAGAAGGATGCTTAAGTGGTAGCATTTGTTACAGCTTGGAGTGGCATTGTTTAAATTCACGTGTATAAACTGTCATTACGAGTATGTAAGGGTAATCCGAGGATTTAAGTCTCTTCCACCTCTTTCATCGTGGGGTCGATGGAGTAAGATCTAGCTCCGTGGTAGTCAAATACAAGCAAACACGAGCAGCCCCCTTATACCTTTCTTTTACTTACCGACAAAACTACTTAGGAAAGACGATATAGCCACAGCCATGGATTTGTCCCTCGGGTGCACTGTTCTTTATAGGAATCAAATAAGCAAATTATCAGTCAACGTAATTAAATTATCAAATATATTGTTAATTAAAAAGGACATCAGGGAAACTATTCCTTCCCGAATCGTGTCGACAAAATATCTTCTTGTAAATATATGGCACAAACACATTTCCCTTGCCTATGAAATTTCCACCTGCTTGCATTCACTGGGGTAGTCACAATTTGACATATTCTGCAGCTTTGTTGAAACATGAAGGAATGTGCAGTTAAGCATTAAGTTATTTCAAACTTTGCTGCGATTGGAACCTTGAAATACAATCTTAGCTGTTGAACGTGGGAAAGCTGCTTATGTGTCTGGTGACAGGAAGTCAGAGCTAGCTTCTGATCATGTCTTCTATTGGTCCAAGTGTAGCCATGTTCACTGAAATTCCCAGGCCCATTCAACAAAGGCCAAGTATACTCACTCATTAAAGACAAAGTTTATATTTATCCAAAAATACTTCAAGAATTCAAACAAACCTTCGTCTTTGAATGACTTAAAACACTACTGGATTATTTGTTTTCGAGACTGTCCTGTAAAAGTATACCACTCGATGTGCTTGATGTTGCATCCGGTTGAACAAACAGCTGCAACGAAGATCTAATGGGAATGGATAGCAAAATAAATACACCAGAAGAGTCTGCAAATCAATGTAGAGGTGGCCAACACTTGTTCATCCTCATTGTATACCCTTTAGTCCCTCTGCACAAATCTGTAAGACAGTTCAAAGGCATGTGTTCTGCATGGAGTTTCGAAAGCCAAGAATTCTCCATTGTCAGAACAAAATGGAGCCCTCGAGTTTATTATTCTATACAGAATTGTTGGGTTTATTCTTGTTAATAGAATTTGCGGGAGCTGATGGCGTCCTGTATTGGATGTGTGAATGAGGTTCTGAAGAAGGACTTTGTGAAATTGAAGTACCATACTTCAGTTCAGAAATTAAAGTACCTTACAAAGTTTCGAGATTGACGTACCCTACTTCATTTCTGAAGCTGAGGTACCATACTTCAGTTCCGAAATTGACGTACTGAATTGAAGTACCATACTTCAGTTCTGAAATTGAGGGACCAAACTTTAGTTCCGAAATTGAAGTACCTTACTTCAGTTCCGAAATTGAAAAAGAAGGTCTTTGTGAAAAAGCACATGACATGTCAGAATGATATTGAGGTACCATTCTTCAGTAAGGATTGAAATAACATACTTCACTTCTGAACCAAACATCAGATCTGAAATTGACGTACCACACTTCAGTTCAGAACTTGCGTCATTTGCATGCTCAGCAGTCAATCGGTAGCAGATGTATAAAGAAATCCGAGCAGTTAACAGTGCCCAGTTGTCACTGCCAACTCTTTGATTATAAAAGACACATTGAATGTTTTAGTCTCTCAAGTGATGTGTAAGATAACTTATGATATAATTTAAGAAACGTGGTTTATGTTATATGACATTAAGACGTTTGTTGAAAGAACACACGATCGCACATTTGGATTGTACATCATGTACATGCTTGTTAGTTAAACGTTAAGATGTGAATCATTCAGTTTACACCCACTCACATCGAAAGGAAAGGAATTTGTTCTCTTCTTTTTTCACGTGTCCATATTACTTGAAAACAAATCCTTTGGACTCAACATGCTTAAAGTATTAAATCCAGTTACACGCAACAACTGTTGTTAGATAGCACGTTAAACAAACGTTTAACTGGTTGGTAAGTTATTGTGTTTCTGACAGGATACATCGGATAACAAAGAATCAATGACATTCACTCGTGTGTTTCTCCCTGAACAGTTAGGTACCATGTCATGGTAATCAGCAGCAGCTGTCTCTAACTGTGCAAAGAGGAACGTATCCGTGAATACATTAATGTGGTGGTGCTTTCCAGCTTGAGTGAACATAAATATCTATAAAGGCTACATACCAGCTTAAGCTAAAGCTATAGTAATTCTCTGTGCGTTTCTAGACATAGATGAACACATTGTGTTCCCTATCCATGTTTTGTGTCCAAGGTGCCCAGATAAAGTATAATAGTTTTTATTATGATTCCTGTAATATAAAAAGAAACAATGTAGGGATGGGGACTAATTTACTTAACTATATTGGAACTAAATCGCTTTATATTTATCTGATGTCATATGTATTCTTGAAAAAATTGATTAACGGTCTCGCAAACAGGTGTGTCTGTGCGTATGTGCGTGTGTGTTTGTGTTAAAAGCATCTACCTCATTAGTGTCAGCATCACAGGGACTAAGGAAATTGTCGCCGACAGGCCGGACACAAGGTCAACGATGACGTAGGGATACAGGTAGGGACAATCAAATGGACATTTGCCCACTGTGCCTTCGTTACCAGGAATCTCGCTGCACCCCATGTATGTCTGAAATAAGACCAGCATACAACACAGATATCAAATACTTATAAATGAAAAACTATACCGAAAGACACCGGGACATTATCTGTATTTAACTGTGAATAATTCAATGACACTGATGGAATAAGATACCAATTTTAGTCCCTCTCGGTGCATATCTAAGGTGACATGTCGCTCTACTAAGAGATACCCACAGTGCAGTTTTCATACTGGCATCCACACAGGGATGTATACTTACTATACCATTCTGAAACTGGCATCCTGACATACAGAGAACCTCACAGGGAGTGAGATACGTACTGTACCGTTCTGAGACTGGCGTCCTGACATGCATGGATCCATGCTTGCAGGGAGTGAGATACTTACGGTACCGTTCTGAGACTTGCATCCAGCCATACAGGGATTGATATACGTCACTCCATCAACTCCACACAGTGGCATGTACTCCGTTGCACCACAGTTGCAAACAGTGTCGTTTACCATGGAATATCTGAAACAGAATTATTTACTGCAGGCGTATTTATGTATACGTTTCATGATCTTGAAAACAAAATTCAGAATATATTTCAGCATACATTCCGAAGATTTAAGTGTATGCTGTATTCAGCCCATCATATCACTTATTAGAGTAAGGTAATATATTTGCCTGATAGTAGTTAAAGACGAAAGAACTATGATCGTTCGTTTAAATAAGCTGTAAACTGCAAGATGAATTGGATCTCAAAGACCAAAGGTACCGTTTATTAATTTGTATGGGCTATATTGGGAAAAAAACAAGCAATTTCGTATCCGAACCTGTATGTATTTGAATATGTATCAAGATTCATTCAGTGGCATTCAGAAATTGTTAATAATACTCTTCCTCGTTCAAATCGAATTTCTTCCAAATATTTATATTGATAAATCTCGCAATGCACTCTCCCGCTACCGTTGTGGTTCTAATACGCTCCAAACTGAAATGGTCAGATATCAATATGTAAAGAGAGACTAAAGACTCTGTAACCTGGTTCTCTGTATCCCGGTAGCAGAGTTACATCGAAAAGGAACACCAATTGTGAACATAAAGACATCCAAAGAAAATATGACACTGAATAGGCTTAACATGAAGAATCTGCGAAGAAACTTTCACAACTTATATTCCATGCCATAAATTTCAGATGCTCTTTTATGTAATCTATGAACCTGACTATCTTAATTTACAATGTCGATGACATACAGTGCGTAATAAATAAAGAATTTCAAACTCTCAATGTTCTGGTTCTAACAACTGGCACCTACCTGCTTTTCACCAAGAAACTATATGTTTTGTTTATGTGGGCCCAGACACTCATCTCTGTCACCTAACCCTCCCCATATGTAATAACTACCTCTTACCTGCTGTCACCTAGACCTTTGATGTTCTGATCGTCGCAACCAAAAACCAGCGTTAGAGAGCAGAGGACAGTTGCACTAAATACCAGTATGGTCGTGAGCTTCATGCATCCAGTGCTGGTAAGCCGGAATCTGCTGGTGATTATGCCTCCAAGAAGGGTGCCCACTAACGCCCACATCAGTTCTAGAATACCTTCAACACATTCAGGTATGGAAATGTGAACTTAGATGAAAAGTGAATGTAATTTAGTTTCCACTTTTAAACAATCATGTAACCCTGTTCATATACCTTAAATGTGTGTCCTTCAGGTTTACAGATAAAGAATCCATCTATTTTAAACCGAAAACAATATGTTAGATCCCCTATTTACATGTATGTATCAGTTTACACGGCTTGCATTTGAAGCTTAGAGAAATATGTTTTCATGATATAGGACATGTTCAATGTACAACTTTCCTCTGGAGGTAGGACATGCCAGTCTGAATGTAACTAAACTGCGTCCTACCGATGCACACGTTAAAACATAAGGTCAATAAAACTGTCGTTGCTCCTTACCCAATATGAAGTTCGCCTCAGCTGCCGTCTTCGCAAACTGGGTCTCGATGTATTTTGGAGCAAAGCTGAAATAGCCTCCAACAAAAAACAAAGCACTGCCGTTCCCAAAGAGAAGACAGGCGACTACTGGGTTCTTCAATATCCGCAATATTGACCTTGGCAAGTCTGCGGGAACAACAGAAATAATTCGGTTAATAGAACAAGACAAATTTTAGATACCAACTTTAGAATGGATCTTTTTGTGTGGCGTTTCCATAAAAGGGCATGTCAGATAACCAAAAGAGACCGATTGATGCGGAGAGATGATAGGTAACAGATATCACATACCGAAAATTGCAGCATTGCTATGTGTTGGATCAAACAGTCAGTGAAAGTCCCATGTATAACCACAAGTAACCACAAGGAAAGTATCCTCTTAGTGTCGTAGACATGTTTCCATTTTTTTACCCTATAGCACCCCTTTAAAACACTTTCAAAAAAGAAGAAACGCATAAGCCATTTTAGAAGAATTGATTAAAAGCAATTATTTCATGTAATTACAATGGTGAAAAATTCACACATCTATTGACAAAGAGTTCGCCAATACAACAGCCACCAATATAGTTATGTTTCTGTTTACTTGAGTGCACAAGATGGCGTCAAAGTCAGTACTTTGTATGACCATCATTGGCAGCAATTCCTGCTCGGCCACGTCTCGGGACAGACTGGATAAGTCTCTCTTGCGGAATTCGTCCCCACCTGCAATGCGATGACCAGTTGTGGAAGTGTCAGAGGCGTGTGTTGACGTTGACGTACACGTCGATCGAGTATATCCTATATGTGTTCTGTTGGGTTCAGATCTGGTGAGTAGCGGAAGGCCATAGCAAGACACTGACTTTAGAATTGGCACGGTAGCGGACAGTGACGCTTGCTGTATGTGAAGTAGCATTGTCATGCTGGAACAAATCCCCCTGTCGGTTCATAATCGGAAGCATGTGACATACACGGACTTCATTGATGTACCGATTTGCTGTCAAATTCCCTGAACCACCACTAAATCAAATATGTGTGCTGGATATCGCACCCCACACCATGACACTTCCACAACCGAATCTGTCGACCTGTCGAATGCGATTAGGGGCAAAACGTTCATTTCTCCGACGGTGGACACGCTGTCTTCCATCTCGCTGGTGAAGAAGAAATCGTCAACTGCGTCAGACTACGACTCCACAGCTTCAAGGCGGCCAATGGCGATGTCTCGATTGGCAGCACTCAAACAAGGCATGATTATTTCCGCTTTTCAAGGCAAAAACGGATAACAAAGTGAAACACAACGTTTACTATAAGTGACCAAAACACTGCATGCTTTTCCTATTACTTGCAAGTGTATTTTGCTTTCCATGTTTTTTTTATGACGCTTTGGCGAAAGAAATAGTATATTTGTATTGACTCTGCCGCAATAACATGAGTCCAATATTCTCAAAATCACCTATCCGTTTCTTTTTGTGAAGAGTGTAAGTCTCAGAGCGAAAATTGTAAATGAGTAATTACAAGCATGTTACAAGGTACCACACCATGGCGTCTGGTACTTCTTTCACCCAGAAAGAAGGTGCAGCAGCAACTCACCCACTATATCCTTTATCAGTGACGTGGCCGTGTGGATATCTTTAACTGTTGATTTCTTCATGTGCCTTGGGAAGAAGCCTAAGGGTACAGCAAGAACGATGGCTGCACATCCAAGGATCAGGTACCCAATCCACCATGCTCCTATCCACTGGGGGTGATGGCTGTGTAATTGGGACTCTTGAAACCAAACCATACAACTGGTATAAATTTCATAAAAACGTGTTGTGCTCGTATGGCGTAAAGAACATTGATTCCAATGAATTCCCTGAATACAAAACCTTTATTTGAATAAAAAGTCTTGTAAAACATTTTTGTAAAGAAAGATTGAATGGAATTACTATTCACTAATTAATGCAAGCACATAACCAACCGCTTAGATCAATGGGGACGTCACTGAGCCATCCACCAAGACCGAGTGCAACAGCTGGTCCAAGGAAAGCTATCGCCATAATGATGCCTACAAGACCACGAATACAAACAAATTATATTACCTGTAAACTACTTCCACTACACGCTATCCTTACGCTACACACAATCCTCCCGCTATGTGCTCTCCTTCTGCTTCACACAATCCTTTCGCTTTTCACACTCCTTCCACTACGCACAATCCTTTCGCTGTAAGCATTCCTTCCACTACAATCCTTTCGTTTTTTGCACTCCTTTCGGTACACAAAATCCTTTCGCTTTTCACACTCCTTCCACTATACACAATCCTTTCGCTTTTTAGTCTCTTTCCACTACACACAATCATTTCTCTATACGCACTCATTCCGCTACACACAATCATTTTGTTTTTCAGGTTCTTTTCACTACACACAATCCTTTTGCTATGCGCGCTCATTCCGCTACACACAATCCTTTTGCTATACACAATCCTTCTGCTACACACAATCCTCTTTGCTTTTCACACTCCTTCCGCTACACACACAATCCTTTCGCTATACCAACTCCTTCCGCTACACACAATCGCTTTTTGCACTCCTTCCCATACACACAATATTTCTGCTATATTCTCTCCTTCCACTACACGACCCGTCAAGGTCCGGCTTAGAATATTGATCTTCAGTAACCCATGCATGTCGTAAGAGCCTACTAACGGGATCGGGTGGTCAGGCTCGCTGACTTGTTTGACACATGTCATCGGTTCCCAATTGCGCAGATCGATGCTCATGCTGTTGATCACTGTATTGTCTGGTCCAGACTCGATTATTTACAGACCCCCTGCCATATAGCTGTAATATTGCTGAGTGTGGCGTAAAACTAAACTCAGTCACTGACTCACTCACTTCCACTACACACACACTACTTCCACCTTACACACACACTTCTTCCACTACACACGCTCCTTCCGCAACACATACTACTTCCAAAATACACATTACTTCCGCTACACACATTATTTCCACTACACACACTACTTTTTACTACACACACTACTTCCGCACACACATACTACTTCCCCTGCACATTTACTTCCACTACACACACTACTTCCACTACACATACTAATTCCCCTGTACACATTACTTCCCAAATACACACTACTTCCAAAATACACACTACTTCCAAAATACACACTACTTCCACTACAATACCACTTCCAAAATACACACTACTTCCAAAATACACACTACTTCCTCTAGAGACACTGCTTCCACTACACACGCTTCTTCCACTACACACACTACTTCCACTACTCACGCTACTTCCGCTAGATACACTACTTCTACAATACACATTAGTTCAGCTACACACACTACTTCCACTACTCACACTACTTCCATTGCACACACACTACTTCCGCTACACACACTACTTCCACTACACACTACTTCCATTACACACACACACACTACTTCCACTACACACAATACTTCGACAACACACACTTCCACTACACACGCTACTTCAAATACACTCTCCTTTCGCTACTCACAATGCTTCCGCTTTTCTGAATAAAAAAGTCTTGAGTTCCACTACAAGCACGACTTTAACTACACACGCTACTTCGAATACACTCGCATACAATACCTTTTGAAACCCGCGATCTACAAACACATTTTTTATACATGCACTACGTCTTCTAATCAGATACCAAAAGGTTTCTTATGGATAAATACATAAAAACTGTCACTTTACAACGAACGATGTATTTTCTCTATTTCATAATGAATCAAAATATTTATCATGTTTACTCTCATCTTCTAAACTCTCCCCCTTCACATCATGTAAGACCTGAGAACGTACCTGTCAGTAAACTCGACTGCTGTTTGTCGCTGGAATTATTCTCAACGTACGGTAGACCCAGGGAAAACTGTGGGGATTTACCCACTCCTAGTAACACCATAAGCACGGCCTGCACATTGTACATCCAACGTCCGTTGTCAGTGGCTTGGTCCTTCGTGGCTGGGCATCTCTCATGTTCCTGTACGGAATCCTGACACAATCTAGCACCTTGTGAAGAAGAATAGTTGGAGGCATCTAAAGAAGGGAACGATACAGGATCCATGAAATGTAACAAACCACACATTAAACTAGCAATACCATACAAAACCATTGCGCCGGACAGGATCCTAGGTATACAACCCCTTCCTCCAAAATGGCTGAAGAAGAAACTAGCTGAAAGACAACCGATTTCGTTGCAGCTCAGAAGGAGGCCACTTCTTGTACTGCTGAGTCCAAACTGTTTCTCTAGTGCTGTGATCTGTGACGTTGTGTAGGGCTTGACTGACCCCAGCAACAGTGCCGACATACTGTAGACAGCAGTAAACCAGAGGATGTTGTTGAAACACCATCGACATCCTCCAGACTCAGCCATGGTGTTGACACGCAGGCCACTGCCTGGATTAACAGATGAAAGGACATGTACTGTACGAGATCTTATTGGAAAACAGACAAATCAACGATGGACTTAGCGGTACCTGGGAAAATAACATATAGCTGTGCCACTGAATGACTATCTTCTTGTCGGATGGCATGTTTTGTGTCACACAAACAATTCAGATTGAATGCAGTTTAACCCCAGTCGGCTATAACGACCTGTTAATAATCGCTTATCATAAGAAAGCCCCTCGTTCATGTAACAGAGTGACCGGTGATCAGTCATTAGTTCTCAGTTGAAAACAAAACTGCTCGATTCTCCAGGGGATGAACTTCTTTAATGAGCCACACAGGATACAGGTATATTTATACTATGTTCAACGACATATCAAACTCATGACTGAGTATCATTAGGTTAGAGCGATTAAGCTCTAAACGCGCATGGAATCGCTAAGATAATGTCTGTCTCTCCACCGAACACCTTGGATCTATATAGCCAACTTTCAGGCAACCGGTCACAACCTTATGGCCGAGAGGTACACAGTTTTGGTATTGTCTTCATTGTAAACACGTTGTTTGTCCCAACTAGTGGATGATGTCTCTGGACACTATTGGTTGGTCCGAGACCGATATATAACGTTATAATCACATGATGATCACAACAATTTGGTTCAAGAGTTGATCAGTCTGTCGTAGCAACACAACATGATGTTTGTCCTCCAACCCTGAGAGATATCCAGTGTTATCAGCTGTGTCCAGTGGGCGGCACGGCACACGAGTCCTTGTTAGATCGGCGCAAACATAATTATGTTACATTCGCCCCTTTTCAATCCGATTATTTGAAAGAATAATCAAAGCACATTAATGATTGGAATGTTCAACCTTGCGTTGTGTAATCAGGGTGAAAAGACCTGGGAAGGCTCACACACCGCATCCCATCCTGTCCAATGTTTCCCTCGCTGATCACACCTCATGGTTGCTGTCTAGTTTGTGCAGCATCCAAGCTTGGGTACAGTAGCCTGGTCGTTGAGGAGATACCGGGTCCTCTGTCTCTTCAGGCCCTCCTCCAGACATGAGTGTTGCAGAGGCAAGCTGCTCGCTCTCTCTGACATGTGTTATCTCTTGGTCCAGAGTAACCCGAGAGTGTTTTCCAAGTCTCAGTTTTCTGGCAAACCAGGGCAAATTGTTTTTCTACCAATAACCATTAATATTACTATTACAACATTTATGATAATTACAGTTATCAAAATGAATTTCAAATTCCCAGTTTCAAATTCCACCTCCCCAGTATCAATTGCAGATAATTGTTCCACGAGTCGAGACATAGGAATTGACTTCACAGCTCTCAGGTGTTCAGGAATTTCAAGTTTAGTCGAATTTCTTATCCTTGACTGAAACGGTTGGCAAAGCAAAATGTCTGACATGTTTGGGATCGTAGCTAGTCCTAACCAGGGGTCATTAACATATACTTTAGTCTCATTATGGTATGACGGCAGAAGTGTCAAATAATCGTTGGATGCTAACAAGTCTCACTCAACCGAATGAAACCACGTGGGGGTGTGATTGTTACGATACGAGGTTTGATTGTCCCCGAACTACAAACAATAGTAAAATAGTAAAACTGTCTATCGTGGTTATGAACTATTGTCCATTAACAATATAATTTGCCCTTGGTAATATAATATACATACATACATACATACATACATACATACATACATACATACATACATACATACATACATACATACATACATACATACATACATACATACATACATACATACATACATACATACATACATACATACATACATACATACATACATACATACATACATACATACATACATACATACATACATACATATATATATATATATATATATATATATATATATATATACCTCTCATCTACATCTTGCCTTGATCTTATACTGATGTATGTATGTATGTATGTATATATGTCAATGTGTGTGTGTGTGTGTGTGTGTACAATTATTCTCATTCCACTGACAATTATGTATCATTTCTTCACAGCATTGAATTCCTCCTTGCAAAACGCGTGCTCATGTTTACACGTATGAGTGGACCGTTTGAATCTCCTCCTTTCCGGATTTGATCGCATCACCGATAGGTTTACTAGACAAAAGGTTAGCAGTGAATCGGTGCCCACGGACGATCACTACAGGCTGATTCATCACTTATCTTACCCAGAAGGTAGGTCTATTAACGATTTTATCCCCCAGGAGTTTTCCTCGGTGACCTACACAAAATTCGACGAAGCAGTTACATGGTACAAAAGTTGGGTAAAGGCGCCAAATTGGCCACATTTGATGTCAAATCTGCGTTCAGATTGATTCCGGTCCGCCCCAACGACTTTTATCTTCTAGGAATAAGTTTTCAAGGTAAATATTACTTCGATAATGTTAAGCATTTGGATGCTCAATTTCCTGTGAATTTTTTGAAAAGTTCAGCACATGTCTTGAATTGTGCATCGTAAAGAAAAGCTCCCCGCATTCCTTAATTCATTACCTTGGGATTTCTTGTTAGGGGGATATCCCTTTACAAGCACATGTTTTGAAATACTTAAACTTTCTATGGACATGTCAAAACTGTCGGACCCTCCACTACAATCACATCTTTGGGCTTGACTATCGACACTGTAGCTATGGAGGTGACAATACCGGCTGAGAAGATAACAGAGGTCACCCAGCAGATACAAGCAATCCTCACGTCCAGTCGAAGGGAAATACGGGTAGTAGAGGTGCAATCACTGGTCGGTAGACTCCAGTTCATTACATGTGCAATCCTAGCGGGTAGAGCTTTCTGCAGGCGCCTGTACGACGCATTAGAGGGTCAGGTAAAACCGTAGCATCGCGTCAGGATTACAAGGGGAGTGAAAGAAGATCTTAAAGTCTGGCAAATATTTCTCCTCAACTATAACGGTACATCTGTGTTTCAGAATGAAGAGTGGATCACGTCAACCCACATAGAGCTTTTCACAGACGCTGACAGTTTGTGCGGGTCCGGGGTATACTAGTACTTCCACGGAAGTTGGGCGTATGGTAAATGGCCATGAGTGAGAGCGGGCTACATGAAAGACATGACTTTCCTTGAAGTGCTTCCTGCCATCGCAGCACTACGTTTGTGTGCACCTAATTTTATTAAAACAAGGTAATGTCTTTGTGTGACAAACCAAGCTGTCGTATCCATCATCAACAGACACACATCCAAGAACTCCAAGGTGATGTTTCTTGTGCGTTTGCTAGTAACTTAATGTCTTAATCATAATATTCTTTGACGTTCCAGGGCCCTTATTCTCGAAACGTTCGTAATACTAAAATTTCTTAACTTTGATCGTAGCCAATGTGTTAAGAATGGGCTTAAGGTGTTCGTAGGGCTACGAACGTTTCCAGAATAGCTAGCCAGGTACATTTCTACTCATGATAATGTTATAGCTGATGCTATTTCGAGGTTTCAGTGGGATTGTTTCAGGGAAGCCGCATCACAAGCAGACTCAACAGCAACACAACTGGATAAAATCCCACCCAGACAAAATCCCATAGGACAAAATTTCTTTGGACAAAATTCAACACCAAAATGACCAACATAGGACCCTTCCCATATTTATATGTTATTGCTAACCTTTTTCACCAGTTTCAATTAGCATGTTTTCATGACAGAAGCCAGTAAGATAAGTTGACTAGCATGTTTTCGTAACAGAGGCTAGTGGCTGCGTTGATAAATTGTATAAATGTGTCTGTGATAATGACAGTTTTTGTCTGTGTTCCAAAATGAAAGTACTGAAGAGCAATAAGGGAGGAATTTGAGTAGCATTAGAGTGAATTTTGTACACTAAGAAGGGTACAAATAAGAGTGGTATTAGGTGGGAATTTTTAAGGAAAATTGCATTAGAATGTCGTGGGTCCATGAAGACATCGTTGACAATGGAGAATCCTGTTCTTGTTATATCTCATAGTCATCGAGTCATACATCAATAAAGATGTACAAAGATGATGATGTCCTAGAATGATGCTTTAGATGATTTACATGTACCATGAAGTGTAATGAGTTTGTAATAACAATTTTCAAACATACAAGTGAAACATCAGCATGAGTAACATCAATAATATGTCATCAACATATCTGGAATCACCAGTCTTTTTGGAAGCTTTTTACATGTTCATTTTCACTTGTAGTTGCCATAAATCATATTTTGTCCACATTGTGCATTATCAATGTACTGAACGTCAACTTGAGAATTAGCCATGATGATGAACTGGGGGTTCATTTAATATATATATACATGGCTGTGACATTTGTTAGTGTTCACCAATTTATTCAGGCTTGTGGTCACGCAGTCACCAGACTTACCTTGAAATAGACTATAACTAATCCCCCTATTATTCTACGGGTAACTGCATCTGTTGTTATAAGAAAAGTGATTCTGAGTCGAGGTTTCGCCTACATAGACCCATAAATATCAGAATCAAAGAACACTTATCATCTACCACTAAATTTGACAGAAAATCAGCACTATCAGACCACATCATCAACTGTCCCAATCACAGCATAATATGGGACAATGTAGAGATATTATCGAAAAACCACCAGGACTTCACCAAAAGAAAGCTTGCAGAAGCAGTTAAAATCCGGAGACACAAGCCCTCAATCAACAGGGACCAGGGATATATCATCCCTTCTGCATACAATGCACTGATAAAAACAACAGATTAGAGCACTCCAGCTATCATTGCTAATTAATCTCATCAGCCATGTATATTTTGTTTCTGCCTCTAGGACCATTGGTTTCCTCCTATTGTCACTACATTATTACCACCGTGCCTTGTTGTTGTTGTTAATCCCTTGATTCATACCTACATGTTGTTATTACTTAATCCCTGTTCATGTATATAAGTCTGTTCTGTGCTGTAGTACTTCACTCTTGCTTGACAACGGTATAAGAATCCATACCGAAACGTCGCATCATATATAATAAAAGCCCTAAATAAA